TGAAGGTTTCTGACAATTGAAAAAAAATACCTTAAGGGCATCATTCATCCCTTGCCAAAAAGCCTTAAAAATGATAATATCCTCACCTTCTTCCTTTTTTGATCCTTGGACCACTGGCATGCTCTATCCGAGTTAAACATTTGCCTCAACTAGATTCTCCTCGAATATATGCTATCTAAGCATAGCTACTAGGTAGCAAATCTTGTGACCTCGCGCCTCACAATCTCTTTCTTCTTTGTAAATATACACATCATGATGAGGGTGAGGGTGTGGCTATACAAGGAAGTTGTAACTGAATTTTCCTTCTTAACTACATATGAAATATCGCTCATACCCCCAAGAACCTTATGCACGAGGTCGATACAATGTGCTTTGCATGATGTTCAAAAGATAATAGGGTAAGCTATGTGCAATAAATTAGCAGCAACAACATTCGGTGCAACATTATCTGTGACAACTTATATAACATGCTGCTTCCCATATAACATGCTGCTTCCCAACCTCCTTCATGCCCTTCTCCATCATTTGAAATAAGTAATGGGCATCATAATTATAATCAGAGGCATCAATTAACCTCAAAAAAATATTCCCTAAAAGATAATTCACTAGCAAATTCATTTTGCTTCTTCTCTTCTTATCACTCCAAGTATCAATCATAACAAAAACCCCATATTGAGCCTATGCATCATTTTGAACCTCAACAATCTCACTCGTGACAATCACCTCTTCTTTGAAAAGAGGCTTTGAAAGCTCTTATGGGGTTGGGGGCTTCATCCCATTTCCAAATTCTCCATTTGCCTCTACCAAGGTGTAGAAGCTGCTTAGTTGAGCGGCATTGAAAGGATTGCTGCCTCATAAAACCATCTAGAAATGTATTGTGCAGCTCTATCTCTCTCTCATCCTTCTTGATTCTATTCTCCATAGGAAAATTGTTTGCTTCCTTTTTTTCTCTCTTGCTACCTCAAGGTCAGGCTGGGGCAAAAAACAATCCATAAACCGTCTAATCTAAGGGCTCTTAGACCCCCCACTCCTAGAACCAAGTACAACTTCCTTTTGCTTCCCCTAGTTTGGGATACAACAAGGTGTTCCACCTCTTGACACCCCTCTTGATCACTATCATCATCATCAAAATTGACAAACCCCAAACCTTAGCTGTGCTATGGATGCCTCGCTCTCCTCATTATTTACAATACTAATAAAAACAATTTCTCCTCTCTAATAGCATCAAGAACTTTTTTACATGGGGCAACATCCCCCCTGAGACCGGCAAGATGTTTCTTAAATATGTTTATGCCCACCTTTGTATCCTTTTCAGAGTAATTGCATCATACACAATTTATCCAAATGATTCAAGCTATTGCCATATTTCCAACCCGAATCACCACTTCTGCGAGTTCCTGAAGTAGACACCTCAAAATAATACAAGTAATCTAAAAAAAAAAAAAATTTCACTAACTTTGATAACTCGATCTCCAAAGTTCCGCCTTTGAGATGTTTTCTAATCACAAAGTCTTCTAAAAACCCCTCAAATAGACCTATAAAACCTCCAAAACTAAATTTAATCTCAACGGGTGATCCTTAGATCTATTTCTCGTAACTTTGAGAAATCCTTCAATACTATAGAAATTATCAAAATCTAGTATTTGAGGTTCCTCTCTCTAAAATGGGCTCTAATGGGGTTTAGGTTCATTTCAAACCTAAACCTCAACGAGGGCCATTTCCGCCTTGTGTAAGGTGCAGGTCTTGGGCGGCCACCTAGGGTTAGGCCGCTTATTTTAGGTGGGATATGGATATCTCAAGTTCATATTGATATACATCATTATGGATGTATATGTATATATCTCTTGATAAGGTTACGTATCTAGAAGAAAGAGACCAAGTTACTTGGTCATCAAGTTATCATACCATATTTATCTCATGTAATTGTGTGATTGTCCTCTATATATAGAGGAACTTATTGATATAAACATTCATCCAATATAATGAAGATGTAGCCAGTTGGGGCTTTGGATCCTTGGACGTAAGGCTTCGGCCTGAACTACATAAATGTTGTGTTCTCTCTCCATTCTATGCTCCCACAAATTCTAACATGGTATCAGAGCAAGGTTCATGATTTGATAGCAAGGTTCACGATTTGGTATTTCATCTGGAGTCTGTTGTTCAAGTTTTCTTGATAAGTGAAGCCCTCAATCTCAGCCTCACTCTCTCTGATGTTATTTTTCTCTCTCTCTTCGCCTTCTCCTCGTAATTGAACATAGCAAGTGCTCACTTAACTGCTAGACCTCCGAGGAGCTTATAGCACAGAGACTTGTGCTTGTGCAATAGCACAAAGGCCTCTATTGTTCACCTTCTAATTCTCAGCGTACAATTCCACACTATTCTCGTGAAAATTAAACTTTTTTGCACAACAGATGTCAACTCCCTAATCCTTTTACCCTTCTCCCACCTAAATGCCTTGACCCTCTTAGATTTCTCAAAATTGTACCAGTCCACGCTTGCATCTTCTTGCCTAAAAGTTGACAGGGGTTCCTGATCTCGGTGACATAAGATGAGTTGCAGATAACTCATTAAGGCCGAGAATTCGGCCAGGCCACCACGACCCATTTCTCCTTATTACCCAAACTATTGAACCAACACTCGAATTTACAGACTTCTCGTTCGAACCATAAGCAAGACCCATTTTTCTAAAAACCTAAAATACCTAGTTCTCCATCTCCCCAGACAGCTCAAAAACCCTAAAAACCAAGTGTTCTAGAACCAACACAAGAGATCTGAGCTGTCAAAAATGAGAGATGGGCAACCAGGGTTTTCCAACGAAGAACCAGGAAACCGTGATTTTTTGGCAAAGGTTACGCCGTTTTTGGCTGAGTTTCTCAAGCTAAAAGGGAATCCTTGGAGGGAGGAGTTCGATGATTATATTGGAAGAGTTGAATCTTCCCAGGGAATACCTACGAAGAAACGAGAAAATTATGCATGAAGGGAAGATGCTATTCTTCATGCTGTTGAGCTCGAGAAGCAGCTACTTGACAGGGATCGGCAGAGTGCTAACACAATTCCTGGTGTGACGAATTCATGAGAGCCCTATGATGATCGGGTTTAACATTGCTAACAAGAAATGGATTTGGTTGCCTCAGATTCCATTGGTGGGTTTGTTCGATGGGGTTCACTTTCTTTTGAAGAAAAATATGCCGTTGTTTTAAATAAATAAATAAATAAATAATGAAGAAGTTGAAAAAATACAAAAGAAAAAAAAAAGAAAGGAAAGAAAGATGAGTGGTACTATTTTTTAAGATGTGGACTATAGTCTAGAAGCCCAATTTCTCCATCCTAGTTGATGATCAAGAATTCCGTCTCCAGATGAGGAGATGAAGATGATCGATGGTTGATGATCAAGAGTTCCGTCTCCAGATGAGGAGATGAAGATGATCGAATTTCTCGATCCTGGTTGATGATTAAGAGTTTATTCTCTAGATGACGAGATAAAGATGATCTAGTTTCTCGATCATGGTTGATAATCCAGTTTTCCGTTACTTGATCCCGTTTGATGATGGAGTTTTCCGTTGCTCCATCATGTGTGATGATTGTCGAGTTTTTCGTTACTCGATCCTGGATGTTCTTAAGAAAAGGGAAAGAAAATATCCTTTTCTTTTAGAGAGATAAAGCCTCTAAAAAGAAAATAAGCCCCTGAAGAGAGAAGATCTTCAAAGAAGCCTCTGAAGAGAGAAGATCTTCAAAGAAACCTCTGAAGAGAGAAGATCTTTAAAGAAGCCTTTGAAGACATAAGATCTTCAAAGAAGAAAGTAGAGAGCCCAAGAAAGGTTGTTTCTTGGAAGACCATAGTCACCTGTGAAATTTATCATGGATTTGATCACTATTCTTTTTTTTTTGACAACTTAGTATTGTTCAAACTCCAGTTTTTTTTAGCAATTTAGTATTGTTCAAACTTCAGCTGCTTTGTATCAAAGCATCTTGAGTTCGAAGGGGAGTGTTGGGATATGGATATCTCGGGTTCATATTGATATACATCATTATGGATGTATATGTATATATCTCTTGATAAGGTTAGGTATCTAGAAGATAGAGACCAAGTTACTTGGTCATTAAGTTATCATTTTATATTTATCTCATGTAATTGTGTGATTGCCCTCTATATATAGACGAACTTATTGATATAAACATTCATCCAATATAATGAAGATGTAGCCGGTTGGGCTTTGGATTCATGGACATAAGGCTTCAGCCTGAACTATGTAAATGTTGTGTTCTCACTCCATTCTATGCTCCCACAAATTCTAACAATTTTTACCGCCCAGGCCTGAACGAGACCGTCTGGACTGCCTAGGTGCTGGGCGATCCGCCTTTTGGAACATGGTCTGTCTTTTGGAACAATGGTATTAAGTGAATCACACTCTATGATAATCATGTGGATGCAAAGGCAATCACAATCAAATACCATCTAGGATGGCCATGAGCTTAGCTACTTGACTCGTGTTTCAACACTGGCGTGGATGAAAACGAAGAACCAACATCCATTATCATCCCTAACCATACCTCCTCCTCCTCCATCAAATATAGGATTGCATTGGAAGCACCATCTCTGTTGAGCTTATGCCATCCATGGGGAGAGGTTCACTTGTATGAGTTGAGGCGCATGGACATATGAGTATTGGTATACTCAGCTTTCCTAATATTCTAGCATCTCGAGTTATGCATGTGGCTTAAGAAGTATATTTGTTTAGCCAGTTATTTATCTTGCTTTCATCCCCCGTATGACTTCTTAAATGATTAAAATGCAAAGCTGTCGGCTAAAACATGACTTCTTATGTCACATTGCAAGTATATAATGAGTACAAAGTGGACTTTCTTTCCCCACGTAGTATTATATGTTGCTATTTATATTTGATTCATCCCAAAGTAGAATTTTGTGACTTTTTTGCTTATCAATTCATTGTTTTGACTACCATTTAGCCTGATTTGAATTTTTTTATTTTCACTTGTAGGCTCACTGCTTAAGGAGTGTAATCTGAGAAGAAGCCCACCTGGAGAATTCCATTGGTTGCCTAGTATTTAAAATATTTGCTGACAATTTACATATGATCATCGACCATTATGTGATTTTCCATTTCTTTTGGGATCATAATCATGTTCCTTTTAAATCATATCCCTTGATGGTAAGTATTGGATGTTTGTTTATCTAAAGTTATGATATGACAAGTTATGCCTCAGCCTCAAAATGTTTGCGATTCTAAAGTACTTATGAATATCATTGCATTTTCTCATATTAAAATAATTTCATATGCTTTTCTCAATATTATGAATCCAAGAAATTCATTCTACTTCCAAAAGTTTTCTTTCTTGGTTCATCATACACATTACAGTAAAGCTATCCTCCTCTTGTGATTGCATTTCTTGTATGATATGCCTCTGTTACATTTAGGTTAAAGTAATCGTCCAAATCATTACATTTTCTCATATTAAAATAATTTCATATGCTTTTCTCAACATTATTAAGCCAATAAACTCGGCTGTCATTCTGCTTCTGAAAGTTTTCTTTCTTGGTTCATTACACAAACTAGAGTAAAGCCATCCTCCTCTAGTGATTGTATTTCTGGTATGATAAGCCTTTGTTACATTTAAGATATAAGTATATTATAAGCCACAATTTATCTGAATGCTTGCTACTTCATACAATTGCTTGTTTCATAGATATCATAACAGACATCCAGGTTTTTTCAAATGCCCTTTCTAGCTACTTAACCTTATCATATTCCTGGTAACTTAATTCCTTCTTCAAGAGCATTAAGAAGCAATTAATCTAACTATGGATGACTATACAGGACATTAAGAAGCATTAATGGATATTTATACAGGACATGAGAATACCTTGAGCCACTTTCTTTCATTTGTTTTTTGCGTATTAAAGTAATCACATGTTGGATGATCTAATTCTATGTTTGTTTCAATCGATTAATAGATCACTTAGTTTTCAGATGGGGAGACAAAAAAATTTGTCAGTCATGTGGTGCAGTACTTTTCTTTGATGCACAAACAGTTCAAGTGATTCTTGGCTTCTTGGCAATTTGAGGGTCTTGAAAGAGTTCATTGGAAGTTCACCATTTTGATGCAATTGAGTTATCTATTTTTCCAATAGTGTACATAGACAGCGGTAATGTAACAAAGAAGACAAACTGAGGCAAAAAAGATGAGTCTCACCAATGGATTAGATGAATAATTCAGAAAGTGCATGGCCATTAGCATGTATTGAATTCGCAGAGCAAGAACTTAAAATGGCATTTTTATCCTCTCTCTTTATTTATTAGTTGTTTTATTTATAAGCTGCATTAGGTGGTCCTCAACCGTTACATGGCATTTGCAAACATCAATTTAAACCTAAAAAATGAGCAACATTCTCAAGATGAAAGGTTGGCACTAAACTATGCATGTTGCGAAGCCAGAGCTGAGCCAGAACTCTAACCAGGATGGTTAGTCATGGTTTGGGTCAACACAGCAGGAGATAGGGTACGGGTTAGTCATGGGTTGGGTCAAAACAGCAGGAGAAAGAGAGAGATAGACAGAGATTATCTTTTTACTTGTGAAGTAGCATTTTCATCTTTTTATTTGTGATGTAGACATTTTCATCTTTGTGATCCCATGGATGCCATTGACGAACCCATTCCTCTATGCTTAGAAGAAAAAAAAGGGTACATCCCTCATTGATTGAGAGAGTCGAGGCTGGATTGAATGAACTACCTGACTTGGCTGGTCGGCTGAGTCCATGGACTGGGGCATATAACATGAGGTCCAAGCTTGATTGTCCCGGTTTGAGACCCCTTCCTGCTCAATCCGGACCGAGTTCAAGTTGGCCAGGTGGTGTTTGCCATCCATGAAACCATACCCATTTTTCAGATGGCCATGAACCCAAATGCTCTATATGAGAGTCCAGACACAATTCCATTCACACAAAACTCCATTAGAGCAACATCTAAAGAACCCAGCCTGAAGGGATGTAAACATTGACTCGAGTTTTACCCGCTAGTGATGGGCCATGGGTAAAACACATGAAGGATACGTGAGCGGACTGACGTAATATAGGACTACGGGGGTTCCAGACGAGTGTGGAGAATGCTTAGTGGCATGCACCTAAGGTTTAGTGCCTGTATGGATTAAGGTAGAATGAGGTCTCTTGTATTGAGTAGGAGTGGATGAAAGGAGTCTAACAACCTACGGAAATTAGGAGAATTACCAACCAGTTCCTCGCCGGAATCAGTTAGATCCCGATATATTGGGGAATCGGAATGGGCCATTCGATTTTTAATCCGAATCAAACGATTTTAATCCAAGTCACTGATTTTTCAAATCTTGGGTCAATGAAATCTGGGTCTTCTGCCCCCCACCAACCATTAGCTTGTACAGTAAAGTTGGATCATAAGAGATACTGATTCACTTACATTCGGGTTTGAATCATCTTGAGTTAGCTTTTTTTAGAGTTTTGACCCTTTCACTGCTCTAATTATCAAGTCACACATTGTTTAAGTTGTGAGGGACCTTCATCTCTTTTTCTCTCTCTCATTTTCTTCTCTTCTTTGATCACATTTAGGGGGCTCTTTGGTTTAGTGCCATAGTTATAGGCTCAATCCTGTAATTCTACTTTCCAAATCCTTCGGGTACTAAGGCTTCGTGCCTGGTACTTTTCTTTGTCTTCGATAATACCTCTTGGGATAAGTTACACCGGGAGACTGCCCAATTTTCTTCGGGTCATCCCTAGGCCTATTCTACTTCTTTCTCTTCTTCTTCTTCTCATCTCTAAATCAACTTCTTATCGATCTCCTTTTATTCTTGTCCTACCACTCTACTCCAAAACTAGAACCATTAACCCATAAAACACGTCAAAGAATAGTACATTATATTTGAATTTCGTTAGCAGTTTTCAAAAAAGAGTTCACGTGAAGTATTGAGTTTTGCATCAAACCCGCTCTGCTGGACAGTCAGAGGGCTTTCGTTCATTGATCTAAGAGGGCAATAGCCTGGGCTTATCCCACGAACTCAAACTGTGAAGAGGTTCGTGCTCAAGTCCATCTCTTCATCGCTTTAAAATCCTCTCATAGTTGGACATACCTATCTACATGTGACACATGAGTCGCACCCGCGCTCGTGAGGTGAACGCGATTGTTTGAGAGGGGTCAATCGAACCCAGGTCCCTGAAAGAGCCCGGGCGAGGTAGATCCAAGCCCAACTAGTAGTATACAATCCCTAAACTTAAATGCAGCTGCAACGCACACTTTCTCTCGCTCATGAACTCCCTAACTATAGCTGAATTTCCGTTTTTAGGAGTAAACGCTAGCAACCATCCATACGATAATTATGTATACCTTCAAGCTCTAAACTTTCAAGTCAAAATTTTAAAATTTGGACCTGAATCTCTCTCTATCTCTCTCTGCATGCAAACATACGCAAGGGCCATATATTAATACGAAAAAGTTTATATACGTTACAACTTTACATCGTAGAAGATGCACCTATAAAATCAATAGAAAAGAGTGTTTTGATGTTGAAAAATCTTCCGATTGGTCATCTTGACCTCATGATGTATAAATATAAAGAAAAAAATTCAAATCCTAGGAGTAGTACATCTTGTAAAAAGCTATCTAGATTGTCTGCTTTCAATATTTTCAAATGTTTATAAATCTTCTCGATCAACACTGTCTTTAAAACTTTAAATTTCACAATTAGAGTTGAATATGGATTTTAAAGCCATTGTAAAGTTTTCGATATTGAAACTTGGTCTTTCGACAAAATTTGGAGGCGCCATTACATGTGGAGTATAAGGTACGCACCTCATACAAACCTCATTCTTTTGTCCTTCTGGATTCAATTTTTATTCTAAATTAAGGGACATGGGCATTCATGAGAACTGAGCAGCAGGTGATACAAAAAAAAGAGGAAACACACCATGTGAGACTTCGAACCTTGAAGGTGCCTGCCTCCACATGATTCAGATAACTTGGACACCATCTTCATCACTAGTCCAGAGGGAACCTTTATTGTAGGATTACCACTTTTCTACGTGAGGGAAACCTTTCTGGTAGGATTACCACTTTTCTACGTTTGTTTTCTGGGAAACGGGAAGTTATTGCTAGCGAATGAAAGCTTTAGCATTAATATTTGCGAAAAGGGTAGCCTTTTCTTTGTGGCGTCACCCACATATAAAATCCATGTGATTGCTCTATTCAGCCTTAAGATCTAAATTGATGATAGGGATTGGCTCCAACATATCACTAGTTAGTCTTGAGCATTTGATCTTAATCAATGGCTCAAAGTTCATATTGTATTTCATTTTTAGCTTTTTCCTATAAAACATGTTGATAGGAAATTTGGAGTGCGACTCCTAATAAAAATAAGACAATTTTTATTTATAATAAACACAAATAACTAAAAATTCACTCTAATGAAATTTTGGTCATTTTATTTTATAAACAATATTTCTCTTTTTATTAGGTGCGCCTCCACAAGAAATAACACGCCTGAAATTTTACGTCAAAATGATATATAAAAGTTTAAAATAAAGCACAAATGATGCTATTTCAACTATCCATTTAGATTAGATGCCTAGGGCTAATAATCACCTATGTTTTTATAATGATATACATTTTATTAAAAATTGCAGTTCATCTATGTTGTTAGCCATATATATATATATATATATATATATATTATAAATAAAAGATGTAAAAAAACATGCATATTTGACTAGCCTCAACTACTCTTACATCTCCAAGGAGTTTCCCTAGTGAGTGCAGACCCAAGGTACATGGCCCACTTGGTTCATGACCTTTTTGTAGTGAGACACCCGGTTTATATGAGGAAGATGAAGGTTGTGAACCTTCTATAAATCAGTTGGTTATGAGTGTGTTATTGACTAGATTCAAATTTTTAGGAAAAAAAAAATCTCGAATTTTGTGACACAACTTAAGCCATCCAACATGACATTCAATGGTTACTAGTAATTTTAACCTCTTTGTAATAAAGATAAATAGTCTCATAGTATAGGATATCTTCTTTTATGAGCACAAATAACATACTCCCATATGAGCACACTGTAAATTTACGCCCTCAAGCTATTTAAGAGACTTTCTATCTGAATTTTTGACATTCATATTTTAATGATCAGATTAGTATTTTCTTTAAAAAAAATAAAAAAAAAGGATTTTATGTTCTTTGAACAGTCGCTATTCAACATTACGACATTAGTTTTTTAGATAACG